CAGCTCCCGGCCAGCCCGCCGCCCGTCGGCCCCGCCGCGCCGGCCAGCCCCGCCGCGGAGCCCCGGCCTAGCCCCGGGCCGCCGCCACCACGCCGCGCGCCGTACTCCGCGTCAAGAATGGGGCGGCCAAGCTGCCCAAGCCGGCCGCCGCCGCCGCCGCCGCCGCAGCCGAGGCGCCCGGGGCCGGCGCGGGCATGGAGCGCTCGCAGAGCCGCCTCAGCCTGTCCGCCTCCTTCGAGGCGCTCGCCATCTACTTCCCGTGCATGAACTCCTTCGACGACGAGGACGCGGGTAAGCGCTCGGCCCGCCCCCATCCCCGGGGTGGGGTCCCGTGAGTCAGGGCCGGGAGGCCCCCTGCCCAACCCGGTGCTCCCCGAGAGGGGCCACTCTCTCCTCCCTACCGCCAGCCCTGCTCGGGATACACCCCCACCCACGGGGCCCCAAGGTCTTGAGCATGCGGCGCCTTCTAGTCTCCAGCCACCCCCGGGGACCCCTAGCTCCTCTGCATTCAACCCTTTCCCGCAGGTGGGCCCTTAGCGTCGTCTGGACCAGCTCTCTTTACTCATCTGAGCCTACTGGATGCCCTCTGCCTTGTCCCCGGATCCGACCTGCCACCCTCCCTGAGCCTCCCTCCTGTCGTGCCCACACCTCGAGCCCCGGGGCTTTGGCTGCCTCACCCCTGGGGCTCCGACGCGCCCCCGGCCGTTGGAGGTGGCGCGCAGACCTTACCTCTCCATCTTTGTCTTGCCTGCATCCAGAGGCTCCCTGCCCGAGACCCCCGCCCTGCGCCCAAGGCCTTGAGCGTCCTCATTTGGCTCTCCTCCCCTTCCCCCCAGAGGCTGGGGCTCCAGACTCCTGGTTCCTATCATACTGGGGTGGACCGCGGGGAAACTGGCCGGGTGCGGCCTTTCCTCCCCTCTCCTCTCCGCTGGTCCCGGAGGGAGGCTTGGGGCGGCGCTCCCCCCGGAATGTGCCCGGACCTTGGGTGTTCTTGTCCCTGGAGTAGCCCTTCTGGGTGGGCTGAACCCGGCCACCATCTAGCGGCCCGAACCTCGCGCTCCCCGGGCCTGTGCGCAGCCTCAGCCAGAGCCCGAGGGGCGGGGAAATGTAGGGAAACCTGCCTTTTGGGGCCCTGGGACCAGGCAGAGGGAACATGAGGGCTCCAGACATGTTTCTGCGGTGAGGAAGCCAATCCACCAACAGGTGGGGTAGCTAGAGGGTTTGGGTGAGAGTTCCCCAGAGAGTGCCAAATTGGGAGTCAGAATCAGGTTCCAGTCTTGCTTCTCTACTTATTAGCTGTGACCTTGGGCAAGTCATATCACCGGTAGCCTCGAATCCTCATCTGTAAAATGGGATGACAGTGCCTCAGACACAGGATGCAGTTAAAAGTGTTTTCTGAAAATCTGATGTAACAGAAGCTGAACATCTGAGAGTATTTGAGTTCAGTGAGAGGACAAAAAGGAGAGGGGTGTTTGTGGTGGGGAGGAGCAAAATGGCTTCATGGACACTTTTGAGAACCTGATGAAAATATGGACTATCTCTTCAAAAAATACACATATGAGCCATCCTCAAAATTTTGTCTGCAGTTTTAGGGAATTTATGGGTCCTGCTTAAGATTCCCTGCCTGCAGGGACCCTTGTCTGGTCTCCAAGTTATCTGGTGAGACATGGGATGGAGCAGTGGGTAATGGGTGCTCACGTCTTGCAGGCAGGTGGGGAAAAGGTTCTCCAGAAGAATTTGTTAGCCAAGTGAATGAATAATGGGGTGCATGAGGCAGACTCCTGACAGACCTAGAGTTGGGGGTGGGGTAAAGATGGTTATTGCAGAGCCATTTTACAGAATCACCATTTTATGGAAAAAGTAAGTGAGGCTCAGAGCATCAGGAGCTTCCCCCTTGATGTAGCTGAGGGAGGTCGTTATGCTGGGCAGGGCAAGATGAGGAGGAATGGAGAGGCTGTCTAACACAGTGGCCTCCACTGGAGAAAATCAGGTTAGCAGTGAGGGCCGGGAGAGGGACCCCCACCAGCGTAGGTGAGCTGACTCTTCCACTCTTCGCCTAATGGCCAGGGACTCCCTTGAAGTTCAGCAGGCCACTTGGGTCTCAAGAGGCAGGTGGGGCAGGAGCATGGGTTTGTAGGAGCAGGGACAGTTAGGTTTTTTTCTCCTAAGTCATGCTCCACGTCCTGGATCAGATGCCTTGGTTATCATTGCTGGTTGCAGGCAACTTGCTCTGATTTCACTGAAGTCAGAATAGAGAACTTCATGTAATAGTAGAGATTTTTAAAAAGATCCACCTGATGTTTTTTCCAGCAAGTTTCTTCAAATTCTTGTTTTGCACTTGGAAGAGACCTAGAAATCATCCTGTCCAACCCCTTTTTGCCCTCAAATGGATGAGTGTGTGTGTGTAACCCAAGGTCACCCAATGAGGTAGGCACAGAGCTGAGACTAAAATCAGTTTTCTGGTTCTCTTTCCAGTAAACTACTAGCCCTCTGTCTAAAAGAGGATTTTTTGAAAAGCCACATCTCTCTGTGTGGAAAATAGTTCCTAGGTGAGGGGGCCCCAGGGAATGGCTGACAGCCAAGAGTTTGGTTTGGGCATCTTGTGCTCATTGTCTGCTCATCTTAAGGGATGCTTCGAGTTTGGGAGGGGGAGGGAGACAGTCAAGTTTCATTTCCGGGAGACTAATGAGTGTCTGGTAAAAATCGGAAGTAGGAAACATTGTCTTGGTGCTTAATTTCTCTTGTTCTTCTCAAAGTCATTAATTTTCTCCTAAAAAAAAAGCCTTTCGGATTCATTCTTTTAGAACAGCACCACAGCACCATGTTGAACTAATTTCTAAAAGCAGTTCGAATAATCTGTCACATACTGAACAGAGACTGCGTCTGTAGGAGGGCTACTAGACCTGGCTTCGCTCCACCTTCCTCTTCCCTGATCCCTCCCCTGGCCCGTTAATGCCAGGCTGTCTGATGGCTCAGAGGTGTCTCCCGGACGGCTTCTGGCTCATCTAGGTGCCTCCTCTTTGATGCTGCTTCCAAAGCCTGTGGAATGCATCTTGTCCATCACCCAGGTCGAGCCAGAGCCATCTGTGGGCTTTACCTGCCCCTTCAGCTGGTTTCCTGAGAAACTGTGTGAGGGGAAGCCTATCTCATTAGTCTTAACTGGGCCAGAGTACTTTCCTGTATCGGGCTTGGGAGCCTTGGACGTTTTGTGGGCATAGGAAGCTGCTCCTTCCTCCCACCCTATTCTAGCCACCCTGAGACTCAGGATGCTGGTCATTGTAGGATCCTAGAATTCCTCCCAAGGAGCATCTTCCTTCTCTTTGCACTCTGGACTCATTTCTTATGCTGCTTTTGTCCCTTTTCCAAAGATGCTGGGGCTTTAGAGAGACATGACCTGGGGGCATTATTGTGTAGGTGTCATCATTGCTCAGTCTTGCTGGCACTGGGTTTGTAATTGGGGAGTTAGATACATGACCTCAGCTTTTTCATGTGGATGAGGAAGAAAATAGTAGCATGGACTGCATAGGGTCAACATTTTAAAAATGATTACCTTTCGAAAAGCATCCTCCTAGGTACTTTAAATATATTATTTTAATTCTTTCCTCATGCAGCCCTATAAAATTAACATTTAATATCCCCATTTTCAGATAAGAAAATTAAGGCACAGAGAGTATTTTTTCAAGGTCACTCAGCCAGGAAGTGAGGGAATTAGGATTTGAACTTGAGCAATCTGACTGAAGCATACATGCTTTTGATTATTATATTGTTTGTGGTCTGCAAAGGGCACCAGTACAGTATCTGGCACCAGGTAGGCTCTTAATACCTGTTAGCCATTATCTAATTATCAAATAAGACTTGTTTTTGAGCATGACTGTAAAAAAGAATCTGTGGGATTCTCAAAATGTTAGCTTTTATAATTTTTATAAGCTAATTTTGTTGCATTGTTGTAGCTATTAAGGCAGCGTTGGGCGCTCTTTTTTGGCGGTGGTTTAAAGATGGGGATTCGGGGGGCTTGCATGTGGAACAAGAGGGTGGGGAGCAGTCCAACTCCCTGTTTCCCTGTTCTTCCTGAACAGTTAATTTTCATCACATCTATAGTCCTAGCCCTGCTACCGTGCCCCACGGCTGGGGAGCAAGTGTGTCTCCACTTTCCAACAAATGCCAAAGGGGGTTGTTAGCATCAGGGTCTGGAATTGAGGATGGTGTCCCTGGTCTGACCAAGTGGTTTCAGCATCCAATTCTCCCTGGTCTGGGAGAAGGGCGGAGAAGCTGGAGCAACCAGCTCTGATTTGCCCATAGGATGCTTCGATCCAGCACTGGAGGAAGTTGCCATGGCAACACCAGGCTGGCTACCGGTCCCTCTCTTAGTGGTTAGGGCCACATCTCTGGGCTGCAGAGCCCTTGCTGCACCGCCCTCTTCCGCTCAGGCCAAATCTGGTGGGTGGGGCGGCATGGTGGATGGATCTCACAGACTAGTACCAAAGCCTACTCCCTCTGTTTTTGGACAGAGGGAAATGGAGGGGGTTGTCTGAGTTTCTTCTCCTGGATTGTGGGGTAGAGGTGCCTATATCTTGCCAGACAGATCCCGGCAGGGGGAATTAGAGCTCTAATTCTTGCCCGCACCCGAGGCACCTGGCACAACAGCACTGGACCTCCCTCCCCACCCCCAATTTACTCCATTTGGCAGAGTTTTCTTTCCCAGACCAAGTGCTAACTTTTGTCCTTGAAATTTGACCTGAGCTTTTTCTGAGAAACAAAATGTCATGCTGTCCCACCCCTTCCCGCTAAGAGGGTGGGTGGGAACGGAGTACTTCAGCCCCAGAGGGGGGGCTAGGGCTGAGTGGATAAGGAGGAATGGTGAGGGAGAGGCCTTAAAGTATCCTTTGGGATCAGGTCCACTTGAGGTGTGTGGCTGAGGTTTTCCCATTCCCACCCTCTTTTCTAGGGCAGGCCACTTCCTGCCCCCCCCCCCGGTCCACTCCCCCAATTTACCGCCAAATGCTGTCATCTCCTTTAGTTTTGGGAGTTAGGCAGAACTCTTCTAAATTTGGGTAGCTGAGGCATGGTAAAGAATTGTACCAGTGTTCCTCTGGTTCATGTCGCGGGGTGGGGTGAGAGTATGGACCCAAACTACTTTATCTGAATCAAATTATCCTGAAAGAAGCATCTCAGAAAAATCGGGTGCTTGGGGATTCAGCCCTTCCTTCACTACCCAGAGCACTGCCCTGCAGATCTGCCTCGATGCCTTTAGAGCTCTTTCCCTGAAATCCCTCTCCCTCCGGCACCCCCTC